TCTTGGCATGGATAGGCGAATGGAAAGCGAGAATACTCGTCGATGATAGTGAGTATATATTTGTTCCTTGAATCAGATGGAAGAGGGCCTTTGACGTCCAGAGTTATTCTCTCAAAAGCCAAAGTTGCTTCAATGAGTGGCTCCTTGATTTTTAATAAATTTAGGTTTGAGTTCTGCACAGATTGGGCAAGACGCTGACATAATACGAATATCTTCTACAGAGTAGGGCATATTGCGAGATCTGACCCAGTGAACACAAAGCTTGATGTAAATCGAATAAAGTTTTCTGACTATTTGAACCACATATTCGAGAAAATGTATCAGCTACTACGTTTTCCCGTCCTGATCTATATACATACAGGGTGCGGCAGTCAAACCTGCAATTTTGGAAAAAGCGCGGTAGTCAAGGAAATGGACAGAACGAGTTGTCAAGGTTACCGTTGTGTTCCTCCCTTCAAAGCATTTTAGTTAGTAGCCATGGAACAGTGGTCAGTGGTCTGAGCAAGAATGGGACCGTCCAGTCAAACCTGCATTTTTGAAATAACTGTAAATAATACACGGTTGCATTTTTCAAAATTTTATCGAGACCTAACATGTTAGTTCACGTTGAAAAGCATTCAAGAAACATTATTCATTCAAAAATAACTATTAGGATGTCGTCCAGTTCGATCCATACATTCTTGGAGGGGATCTCTGAAATTGTCCATTACATCACAGAGCATCTGCTGAGGGACTCTTTCGATCTCCTGATTGCTTCTCGCCTTCAATTCATCAAGAGTACGAGGCAGTTTTTGCTCTTTAGGTGCTTCACAAGAAAAAATCACATAGGGTGAGATCGGGTGAACGGGCGGGCCAAGGAACGACTCCGTTCCGTGAAATCACCCCTTGAACTACCGCTTTGACGGCGAAGAACCGTTCTTGCTTGGACTACTGTTCCATGGCTACTAAAATGCTTTGGAGGGGGGAACATAACAGTTACCTTGACAACCCGCCCCGCCCACTTTCTTGGCTCCCGCGCCAAAATTGCAGGTTTGACTGCCGCACCCTGGACTATATTATAGCTGTAACATGATAGTTCAAGTCGCTATCTTGAAAATTTCTCATTTTTTCTTTTTCTACTGTGTTTGGTATTAAACATAAAAGATACAGATTTTTGATCAGTAATCAGCTGAAAATGTCGACCAATCGGAAAATTTCTCCATTTTTTAATCGCTTCGACTATGGAATAAGCTTCTTTTTCAACTGATGAATAATTGTGTTAACACTTACATAGTATTCTCGAGAAAAATGCAACTGGCCTTTTTGCTTGAATCAAAATGGCAGCAATGGAATCCTCTGAAGCATCAGTCTCAACCACAAAGAGAATGTTAACTCCGATTGAAGTAACACCTGATTTTGCAATATCCAATTTAAGCTGCTCGAAATCGTTCACACAGATTTCTGACAACGGAAAAGATTTACAAGAAATAAGTCGATGATTTTTTTCTGAAAAGCAAGGTATCCACTTTGAGTAATGGGCGAACACCCCAAGAGCTCTTTACAGAGACTGAGAGTCTTCAGGTACTGGTAGTTTTCGTAGAAGTTCATGTCTAAGTCTAACTGGATCAGGATTCAAGGCATTATTCTCAATCGGATATCCAAGAAGTTTGATTGATTTTAGGGAGTAAGAACTTTTCTTTTCGTTTATGGTAAAACTATATTTTCTTAAAACGAGTAAAAATCCTTTTAAATTTTTATCATGGTCTGCTTGAGTCCTACCGCATATCGTAATATTATCTAAATATGCATAGACACCTTCAAGATTCTCTGATTTTATTATTTAGTCTATTACCCGCTGAAAACACGCAACTCCATTTGTCACACCAAAAGGAATTCTTCGGAACTGATAAAATTCACCATCAGCCCCAAAAGCCGTATACCTACTGCTTTTCGTCGTCACGTATGGGAACTTGGTGATACGCACTTTGTAAATATATAGTACTGAAAATCTTGAATTTCGCCACAGCACGAACAATATCTTCAACATTGGGTAGAGGATAAGCATCTAAATATGTAAACCTGTTAATGGTTTGAGAGTAATCGATCACCATCCCTTTATTGTGCGTTAATTAATTTTTTGCGTCCGCCAAGGAGAGTTGCTTTCTTCTATGATTTTATTTAAAAGAGGGTTTCTTATTTCAATAGAAATAAAGTGTCTATCTTCTGGTGACTATTTCACTAGAGTGTATGTGGCAATAAATTCGGTATTCAGCTGACAATATTGGTAGCTGGACAATACCAACAACATGGTATTTCAGCGACCATTTTTTGACATTGTCACACTGATATTTTTAATTTGAAGTTTTTATTCATATTTTTGCATTCTACCTATTTTCAAAATCTCACGTGAAATAGTCATGATGAATACCACTCGAGAAAAAATTGTGTAGGCAAAATTGTTCTTAAGGTTTTATTCAAGTTTGTTGCTTTTCGGCAATTTCGCTCATGACATTTTTGATGATTTTGTCAAAAATGTCATTCGCGAAATTGCCAAGCAACAAACTTTCATACCTTTCGAAAATTTTGCCGAAAATTTTTTTTCTCTTGTGATATTATATATGAAAATCGTCTAGACTTTGTTGCAATTGGCCTGCAGTCTGCTGATAGATTTGAAAATAATGTAGGCGGATCAATTTTTAGGACCGCCAAACTACAAATCGATGATGAGTTGTCAATATACAAAGGATGCGTAGAACCTCCAAATTCAAGGATTGAATGCTGTCTAAGAATATCATGACATAATGACCAAATGACATCAGCACATAAATCGGAAAGAACTGATAACCGTAATTTTCTGTATGTACCTATGCCCCATCATTTCTATGTCTACAAGGCAATGACCTTATATTTGGGATTGTAAGGCTGTTGCGGCCTTACAGTATATATCCAGTGCTTGACTGTATAGGTACAGTCGAAATCATTGCAATTGGCACACACTCTTTAAAATCCCTCGTATTAAGTCAAAATTCTAACCAATAAATCCTCGAATAAATCTATTTAGTGCAGGGTTAAACTTCTAGGTGCTGTACAAAGAAGCCCAGAAGCAGGTATAATTGAGGCAGAAGCTATGACTTTTCTTTTGTTTAGACATACCTTGAAGAAATGTCCATGTAAACCTGGGGAGAAATGTCCACGTTTACCGCTTTCAGTACACGTTGAATCTTTTGCAGGGCATAACGTGCGAAAATGTCTTTTAGTATTTTCACAGAAATAACATTTATACACTTTCGTAGCAACGGAAATGAGGTCTTCTTCATGTTTTCCTCTACTTTCAGATTGAATTGAGTTAATCACACCTAGAGAGATGCTATATGCTTCTGAATATTTTTGTGCCGATTCTAGAGATAGAGCGTGATTCATGGCTTCTTCAAGTATCAAAGTAGTATTCTTCAACAATCGTTGTCGAATTTCGGAAGAGCTTAAGCCACTAATGAAAGAATCTTAATAGTCGTTTTGACTTCAGCGCTGACAGCTTTGAAGTTACAGTCTTTACTTAGATGTTTTAGTGCTTGTAAGTACTGATCAACAGTCTCTCCAGGTTGCTGCTTCCTAGAGGTAAGGTAGTGTCTGGAAAATATTTCATTTTAAGGTTTAATGAAACTTGAATCCAAAATCTTAATAGCTTCTGAGTAAGAAGAACAGCAGGATATGTGCTCCTAATTGTTGTGGCTTACATAGTTCACCAAGAGTTTCAGTTTTCCATCATTTTCTAGCTTATCAACGGATGAAATAAAATTGCTGAAAGTTGCTTTCCAGTCCACTCTTGTGCAGCTTTTGGAGAGTCTGATCAAAACTCTCCGTCGAATCGTTCAGGTCTTAAGAGTTTATCCATCTTGTTTACTAAATTGTAATGACTTACTGAATTACCTTAAATTAGGCTTTAATAATGTGGGAGGAAGACCGGGTCCAAAATAGGTTTATTTAGCCATCGAAGAACCCACAAAGAATCATTCTGCCAACTTAGCGAGTAAATGCCTATGATGATGATAAGGGCATTATCATTTAAGGCATAAGTATACTCGTATAATAGTGTCTTTGCTCCCATGTTATCATAGATTGCGATGAGTAGATTCACTGCTTCCCAGGATGTAATACACATTTTAGCATAAGGGCCTTGTTCGTTTTTTTAATTTTTTGGCATGCACGAGAAAAAGTGGTCATATTGTTCTGGGTTTTGTAACCCTTGTCCTATCTTTTTTGTCTACGTTAGTATAAAAATATCCATACTCGATTTCTTTATTCGAATTAGGTACGTCAATCATCTTCTGGGACAGACTTTGAACGTTCCAAGTACCAATATCAATTCGACGTCTTCCTTCATCCAGTTAGTTTCGAGGACAAGTTTTAGAATCAGTTAGATACCTATTTTGCAAGTAATTTTAGATCATGTGAGTAGAAGTTCGTGAACCATTCCAAAATGATACGTTTCAAACCATAATGAACTTGAAAATTGGTTGTTTATTGAAACCGATTAGTAAAAAGGAGAAAACTTCTTCTATAATTTCTACATAACCCGTATGTGTATAACACACTTTTTCCCAAATTTATTTAAAAAAAAAAGTTCAAAACGCCGTGTGCCGAATGATCGTCTGAAATAATCGCTTTCCGAGGAAAAAGAAAAAAGAAGGGGACACACCCAAAATAGGAATCGGCCCAAGTAAAACGTAGTCCAAGTCCCATAAAAGGCCCCACAATCTGCACCCCCAACCCCCAAAGTATTCTGCAGGAGTTATGAATGAAGCCGCTTCACGGAAGCCTAGCTGCCCCTTTCGCAGAATTCGCGCCTCTCTCGAACGGATCAATAATCCGGATCGAATTCGAACCAATCAGAATTTAGCTTGTTGAATGCTGGACCAATGAAAACGAACCTGCCGCATATCCCTGGCAGTGTCCCCCCCTTATGCGCGTTTCATTGATAACTGTGTGGGTGCTGAAAGTAGGGGAATTCACGGTTATAAATAGGGGTAGTGTTGTAGGGGTTGACACATTTTCTGTGAAGCTAGCAAACGCTGGACAAGAGAAGACAGTGCAAGTGATTTGCGAGTTGAAATTATTTGTAGTATTTTTAGTGGCAGTGTTTTAATTTGTCTGAGATGGTAAGTAATTTATAAAAAAATAATATACTATATCTGATATTTAATTTTATTTTTTCAATTTTTATAAAAGATGAGCCTAAATATTTTAATAAGATAGAAATACAATATTCAGTCGAGGCAGTTCGGTATAATTTTATAATTTTAAAATATTATTTTGTGTATTTTTCACAAAAAAGCTGGAACATAGTAGGAAAGTAGGAACATATATTGGGTGGTTCCTTTTAAACATATGGTAGAAAGTGCAACATATGTGATGCGTCTATGCGTTAATGGAAGTTTAACTTGACCAATATTTAATTTTTCAGAATTCCTACCTATAAATAAAATACAAACATGAAAATCCTTGCTAATTTCGTTAAAAACTTATTCAAAGCTTTCTTTAATCCTTCAAAGAGAAATTGACAGTTTAACTTTCGATGAAAAATACGTTTTTACTCAAAGATTGATTATTAAAGTTTTAAAATTTAAATTATAGCCGTAAAGAAACAAGCTATGCCTTAGCCTTATGATAATCATAACTTCAACATAATTTTTGTTAAAGTTTTCCGCAAAACTTTTACTTCAAGCTCCTACTAAAACTTTTACGTTTTCGTTAGATATTCAAAGTTATAATTAACAAAATCAACTTAACTTTTAACACGAAAACTTTCCATGCTATTTAAAAACTCTATCCTTGCATAGACCAAAGAAAAAACTCCCTTTTAGTTTCTAGATTAAAGTGTAATCCATCATAACAGGTGCCAGCTGTGTGTAAAATATTGATAAGCAAAATTTACATGCCTTTGATTAGATTATTATTTGCCTTTGATACGACGTAATAGGCTAATGGAAGCGTGATGGATCGATGTGACCTCAACAGGTTCGCAGAATCCAGCACAATATGTAATTTAATACGGTTGTTCGAATTTGATGGCAAAACAGCGACAAGGTCGAATCGAGATTTTTTGTACATGAAATTTTTTTGTTTCAGATTGCCCTCAAACTCATCCCCATCGCCCAAATACTTTTAATTTTATTCACTGACCTAACTCTATGCTACCCCAGCAGCTTCTATAATTCAAAACGTCTAAGCCACTCTATCCATAGACCAAGTTATGACCCTTATGAATACTATGCTAGATCTCAACGTTATCCATACAGCTACTATCCCAGCTACACTCAACTGTATCCTGATGATTACTACTACAATCAAGATTCTTATCCTATGTACTACTTATCTCCCAGACCTGCAAGCTATGACTATTTACCTTATTACTATCAAGATGTACCTGGAGCAAAAAATACCAAGTACAATAATAATAATAATAACAATAATTATTATAATTATGCCGATCTTAGTACTGAAGAGCAGGAGAGATTGCTTCAAGAAATTGAACGAGAGCAAAGAGAACGAGCTCAACCTATTGGTCACGAAATAAGATATGAAAATGATTATAATTCTGATGCGGATGCGAGTGTTGATGAAACTAATGCTGCTTTTCTAAATAACTTAATGATGCAACAAATGTATCAAGATTCAGTAATTAATAAGGACAGAATTACGTCTGCTCCATCAAGATTATCCGATCAGTATCCCTATGCAGATTTCACTGCTGACATGCCCTATTGGGAAGACGTTCCCTATGATCATCCAGTAAATGTAGATATCGACGAAGATGTTAAAGAACTTGAAGAATTACCAAAAAAACAAAAACAACGCAAAAACAGACAACGTAAACAGCGCAAACAAAAAATTGAAAATATCAGCAACGAAAATCCTTCAAAAAGAAGTCAAGATGATGCTGTAGTCTACACTGACCGCAAGCCTATTGTAAAAGACGTTCCAACTGTATCTGCTGATACGTCTATTAGGGAAGCTAGAGGACAAAAGGAAGAAGTTCTAATGAGACCAGCAACACCGGTTAGACATCCATTTTCAAGTTCAGTTTTGGACATGTTGAGTCAGCAACAGAAGCAAGAAGAGAAAAAGAGGTCAACCCCTTCAGTCTACGAAACCATAAAGCACATGTTGGAAATGGAGAAGAAGTATGAAGAGGTAAGTTAAAACTATTTTGAGATAAAAAGTTAAGAGTGCATATAAATTACCCATTCAACCCACATCAGGCGCTGTTAAACTTTATTACTTGTCGCGTACGTGCAAAAGCTCATTGAAATGCACCCAGCAAACTACATTTGAATTCTACATGTAGCGAAATAAAATTATTTCTAAAGACGACTCGTGTCTAGTCTTGGATAAAATGAAGTTTTAATGTATTTTCACAGAAAATATTCGAGTAAAAACTGCCGCGAATTTATTTATAATATTTCAGATGGAAAAACATTTTCTCCAATTACTATCCTATACTGACTGAGAATGGAATGAGGCTTCTGGCTGTCGTCAGTCATTGCAAGGTAGAACCCCTTTATTATACAAAAATTGGAGACAATCAAATTATAAATAAATAATTATTTCCTATGTATGTCATTGAGCTAATGTTCTAGCTCTTCCACGTAGGTATGTCGTATCCCGAAGAATTGAGCATCATTGTAACGAGATATACATTCGAGCAAATAATATTGGTTTAATGACAAAACTGGAGACTATTTTAACTCATATCTCTATTCTCTATATTTTTGCTTATATTCACGAATTGACCTTCAAAGTCTTGCATTGACTAAAGATAAGTAGCCAGACGCCCCATTCCAGTTCTTGAGTTTTTTATTGGTAAAACATAAATTGCTTTACATTTTTAGTCAATTTAAAACAACTTCAAAAACCCAATTTAATTTTCAACTTTAGGGTCGCGAAATTTAATTTGAACAAAAAAAAAAAAATAACTCTGCAAAGTCCTGCAGAATTTCATTAGTTAATGGAAGCTCCCGCTGAAGTTATTATTTAATATCTTGAATCAACATTTAGACTGTCCAATCTCATACAATTTATTATTCTTATAAATATTAATAACGAAGAAAAGGGATAAAATATAAAGACTCATTTCAAAAATGGATTTACGACATTAAGCTAGAACAGTTGGTGGTATTATTATTTTAGTAAGTAAATGATATTTTTTATTACGCATGCATCATAATCAACGATTATCGCACGCTGCAGCGTGCATAAAATGATGTTTATGATGCGTCTACCTTTTCAAAGGTTTGCTATAGAAACGTTCGATCTACCTTCATTACCTAGATATTTACCTGCATACCTGCCATTTAAATTACTACTTATCAAAATGAATGAACACTTTTAAAACATTTTTGAGATTATGATGCATTCGTAATAAAAAATAGCGTATGATATGCGTGTATAAGAGGGCATTTAAAGCCCTTGCGACTTACAAAACACTCCGCTGCGCGTCGTGTTTTGAAATCTGTCGCGCGTGCTTTAAATGCCCTCTTATACACTTATATCATAATATACTATTATTATTATGAATGATGCGAGACTCGGACAACCTGAAAGTTACTGTCACTAACAGGTGCCTGCAGATGAATAGGATGGGACTTTAATTATACCTAAGCCCGTGAATCGCTTTTAAAAATAATAAATAAGAAAAACTGCTTTTTTCAATAATTTATATTAAGTATTGCATCCACTTCCGAATTCAGAGTTCAAATTCATTGTATCATCTCGTGATTGTTGTTAATTCACATTCGTCTTTTCACACTTCTTTGTTAAATTCTTTTTTTGCTTTTCTACTGATTGCACTCTTCTCAGAGTCCAGTCAAGATAAAAAAAATATATTTTTTTGGGTAGTCTGAGAAAGTTGGGGAACAGGTATAGTGTGTTTCCAACAGATCCGCTTGAAAACAGGACAGAAAGTTTGCGCTTAAATTTGAATTTGATTTTGGGTTTATTTTCCGACATACCGCCCGCCTTGAAACGACTAGGTTTTAACACGCCAAAAAAAAAAAAAAAAACTCAGTTAATATCGATAGGGAGGACACGAATTCGCGACACTGCGCGGCGAACTTCGCCATTGATTGTCCTGATCGACACAATGCGAATTCGTCCATCACTTCCTGGAAAGAGTTTAGAAATACGACCTAATTTCCATTTTATTTACTGGCTCTTGGCGCATATCAGGTTCAGGAATGGATGTTAAGGATGAAAATATTAAAAATTGATCTGGGATGAGAACTTGGTTGTCTGAGGAAGGGTCACAGGTTTGCCTCTACGACTGATAAAACGTTTAAAACAATTAAGAAAACTCTCTGTTGTGGGATCTGATACAATTTCTAGGTGGGTAGCCTTTGTACTAAAACACATAAAAATGCAAACGTAAATCATATGTTTAGAATTGCGTAACTTGTTAGCTTTGACAATAAATGGTCCGCAATAATCTAGACCAGTATGTAAAAAGGCCTTTGAGAGAGCAACTCTATCTTTGGGTATATCACCCATTAACTGATTAATTGACACAGGCCTATCGCGAAAGCAAAATATACATGTTCTTAGAACCCTTTTTACAATGGTTAGTCCTGAGATAATCCAATATTTGGATCGAATGGCTGCTAATAATGATTGGGGACCAGATTGCAATTGCTTATAATGTTACTGTTACATTAAGTGGACCCTCAACTTTATTGGCCTGGTTTAAACTGTTATACATAAAGCGAAGAATCCATGCTGTAATTTGGTAACTGATAAATATCTTCTGAGAATGTCAAAATCTTGTTTTAAGCTTGAATGTGCAATGATGTTCTGTTTTCTCAATTCAGGAATGTCCTTTGGTTTTGTATTTCTCATTTTCTTCAGATGTAAGCCACCAGGGGCCATTCCACCAAAGTGTTGAGGTGGCCAAGTCTTCAGGGCTCAAACCTCTAGAAATATGGTCAGCTGGGTTTTCCTTTGATACTACATCTCTCCATTCATTTGTTTTGGTTGAGTGCTGTATATGTGCTACTCTGTGCGAAACAAATGGTTTCTACTGATAGGATTGACCATTAATCCAGCGAAGAACTATTGTTGACTCTGTCCAATACACAATTTTGTCAAAATCAATGTTCAATGACACTTTCACTTTTTGCATAGGATCTGCTAAAACTGTTGCAGCACAAAGTTCCAATTTGGGAATTGTAAGAGTTTTTAAAGGTGCAACTTTGCCCTTTGCACATAGTAACTGAATCTGTTTGATATTATCACGTGAGGAATAAATGTACACACACGCTCCATATGCTGCCTCGGAGGCATCACAAAATCCATGTAATTTGTATTGGTACTGTTGGATAAAATTGCATGTCGTGGTATGTTGATTTTCTAGGTTCTGGAAGTTGATTAATAAAATTTACGAAACTTGTGTGAATATCATTTGGAAGGGATTCATCCCAATCCAAACGTATTCTCCACAATCTTTGCAGGATGATCTTTGATACAAGGTCCCACAAGACCTAATGGGTCAAATATTTGAGCAATAGTTAATAGGACACTCCTTTTTGTTATTTTAGTACATGAATTGTTGACTGAGTGCCAATGCCAATGCACGCCTAAAGTTTTATTTTTTTCCTTGTTTGATATTAAATGTTCCACCATTGTTTTGTTTTGGTTGTCATCTGCAAATACGCTTGGTTCATTGGACAGCCACTTCCTTGAGACAAAGATTTCCTGATCCAGAATAGTTTGAAGATCTTGTTTTAACTTTACAGCTGAGTCAATATAATTTGTTCCATAAAGAAGGTGGTCGACATAAAATCCTTCTTTGATTGCCTTTGCTGCTTCTGGATTATTATCAAGATTCTGGTTTGCAACTTCATCTAGACACCTGATTGGCAAATAAGAGGCACTTGCAGTTCCATATGTTACTCTTGTTAGTTTGAATTGTTGAAACTCTTCTGATGAATTCCTTCGCCATAATATTCTTTGCAAATTCTGATATTTTTCTTCAATCAACAAGAACTTGACGGTATATTTTTTCTATGTCTGGTGCCAGCACAATGTTAAAACTTCTGAATCTAAGTAAAATGGTAAACAAATCTGGTTGAATGGTTGGACCGACTTTCAAGCCATCATTTGATGATAAGTTGGATGATGTTTTTGCTGATCCATCGAACACAACTCTTAATTTTGTAGTGGTGTTATTGACCTTCAATACTCCATAATGAGGTAGGAAGAAGCTGGATTCTGATTGTTCAGTTTTGTTAACTGGTATCATATTCTAAAGTTCTATATTCTTCCATGAAATCTATGTACAGTTTCCTGAGTCCTGGATTATTTATGGTTATAAAACTGCTATAAAACTGATTTAATTCGGACTTCGTTCATATTCGACAATGTTCGTTGTTGTCGACGTCGTTGTTTTGCTGTGGTGGCGGCTTGACGAGTCGATGGTTGGGGTGCAGTAATGACGTCAGCTTCCGGCGTAGTAAATTGATCGGATTGTCTTTGACAGAAAGTTCGCGCTTAAATTTGATTTCGATTTTGAGATTATTTTCGGACAGGTACTACTTTATCAAATAAAATCACTAATTTATTGTTTTTTTTTTTCGTCTTCTTGTGCCTCTGCTCATCAACTTCTAGAATAAACATCTTCATCTTCGATGTCCTTCTGTTTAGACCTATTTTTCTTTTATTCTTTGCAAATCATCTTCCCATCTACACCTCTATTTTTCTCTATGCTAATTTGGCTAGTCTTGAATCCTATTGGTTCATTTTGTTGTCTGGCGGCCCACAGTCCACAGTATTTCCAATTACGCTGGTCGCTAGTCTTTCAATATATCACAAACACCTGTTGTTTTCACTAAATTTGTATGCGATCTTTCAGCCTAATTCCAAGCGTAGATTGTTCCATTGGTTTTCGCGTAATAATTATGAATCTGATCAATCTATTTTCTGTAAGATTAGGTGTTTAATTCGCAGAGGTTGTATATATACCTAATACCTAATTTTCTTTTAGTATATAGCCATGTCGTGTCCTGATAAGCTACCCGCCTAAAAGACGTCGGTTTGCTAATATTTGAAACCTGTGACAGGGAAAGAAGAAATCACTTACCTTATTACATATAACACCGTTTTATTCAAAATTACATACGTTTTAACTTCGCCGATTAAACAAT